AGGCGAACTACACTTGTGTCATGTGAGACGATTGTTATTGGAGTAAAGTCACAACCATTCAATATTTCCCATTTCACGGTACTTTGTGTTGCACATGAACCGTGCCACTAGCGAATATCAGGTCGCGTTCCTACATACCGGAATGTATCCCGCAGGTACGACAGGTTTGACTAAGCTGTCGGACCAGCCTTACCGAATAGCGTGGAGCATATTGCACCGCTTTCACGTCATTATTCCGTTATACCTAGTTTATATGAGATGGGCTGCTCTCTGTCCATGCTTGGTAAGACGAGTCGTCTGATCGCTCAAGATATCGGAATGAAGTCACTAAGCAACACAAGATTAGAACACGTCAGATAGAAGACTAATTACCTAAAATTGATGAATTACTAATCCTCTACCGTTTCTGTGAAACTCGAAGCTTTTTTACTGTTTTTAGCTACCTAGGTACCAGAAGTCCCTAACGTCTCTTTCTCCAGCTAGCTACGATCTTACCAGGTAGCTAGCTTTCAAAGGCTGAGGGCCTGACAATAATACTTAGGAGAGGCAATGAGAACAGTCAAATTCTATTAGATTTCCCTGGCAGCCCGTGGACCTCCCTATGGCGAATGCTTTTTGTCTACGCTTGAGGAACGAATAGTACCAATACGAAGCTTTATATTCCAAAATAAACAAATATAATGGGTAGTGCCTACCTGATTCTAGGGCCCTAGGCAAGGATTCGAGGCTTGATCCCACCAGGTAGCATTATTTGAGGAGCTGAGGTTAAAAATAAGTACTTACCTAGGTAGTCAAGAGAATTAGGTGTAGGGGAAAGCATATAAAAACTAACAAACCAATTGGACTGCTCGACGAGTTCATGATGAACGAGAGGATTTAAGGCGTAGGTAAAGGGATAAGGGGTAGGAGATGATGGCTGCATTAATAATCGTGGCTGGGCAGTGGATATGTGGCGGAAGCTCAAGTACCCCACATAAAAAGTGACCAATCAATATTATTCTTGCGCGCCTTCATCCTTGTTCAACCTTTGCGCGACGACTGCATTTTTGTCCTAACATAGCTTTAGCCTTACCTCGATCGAGAACCACTCTCGCCGACCCAATTACGTTGATCTTTTTTTTACCTGACGAAAGTTAGGCGTCTTCCAATACTTCACCTTTAAATACTCATCGATCTATCCTGCAGCTATGGGGAAGAAGAAGCGTGCCCATCCCGACGTCGAGGAGCTCCTCGCGCGCCCTTGGTGTTATTACTGTACGCCGTGCTTCACTTGTTTCGCGCACAGGATAATCTACTAACATATTCAATAGGTGAGAGAGACTTTGAGGATCTCAAACTTTTGATATCTCACCAGAAGGCTAAGCATTTCAAGTGCGATCGATGTGGACGACGATTGAACACGGCTGGAGGTAAGGAATCGCGATTTAATCTATGCTGATTCGACGCGCCACTGGCTAACTCTTATCTGCGTATAGGTCTCTCCGTGCATATGAACCAAGTGCACAAGGAATCGTTATCGTCAGTCGAAAATGCGTTACCTAACCGACAAGGGCTCGACGTCGAGATCTTCGGTATGGAGGGTATTCCAGAGGATGTTGTTCAACAACACAACCAGCGAATTATCCAGAACTTCTACCAGGCACAAGCCGAGCGATATGCCGCCACCGGTAACCCGCCTCCCGGTCAGAATTCAAACGGCCCGGCCAAGAAGCTCAAGGTCGAGACTGCCGATGATATCAAGAAGCGACTGGCAGAGCATCGCGCGAGACTTGCTACCCAAAAGACGGCTATGAATGGCGGAAGTGCTGGTCATACGCCTCGCGAAGGCTTGCCTGAGAGGCAGAGCCCTGCCCAAAGCGCGTCCCCTGGTGCCTTTGTACGTGTTTCCACACCGAGTTCCAACTTGACAAACTCGTGCTGACTATCATGAACAGAACTCGCCTTTCCCTCCACCTGGTGGCCAATACCCCGGCTTCCCTCCACAGTCTGCCGTACCTGGCTACTCGCCTCCTCCCCAATACCCCGGCGCATACCCACCTCCGAATCTACCCTCGCGACCCGGAAGCAATCTTACCGCACCTCCTGGATTACCTCCGCGCCCTGGACAAGCTGGTTGGCAAGGAAGTGCTTCGACTATTGATGAGCTCGTATCAGGCGCAGCGCAGCAAGGCGACGATATTGACCAGATCATTAGGATGGCCGAGGCAGGAATTAAACCACCTAAGAAACCCGAGACCCCGACTACTGCCGAACCTGCGGCCGAAGGGACGGAGAAGAAGTCAAAGAAGGACAAAGACAAGAACGTCAAGATGGTATACGATGACGAGATCAGCCCGGAGGAGAGAATGGCGCTTATGCCAAAATACGCATTCGTTCCTGAGGCTGCTGCTGCTTAAGATGATTTAGGGGGATGGAACTTGTAACATTATGAAGTGTCGGTGCTACATGGTCAGTATCAACGCGTTGGGATCTATTGGCTGACGTGGCGCAGAGCTTACTGCTCCGAGATTGCAGAGCAGTTCATTAGGTATCCAAACAATTGCAGAGGGTCAATCTCATATTGCTTGCGTTCTTGGCTTGTGAAATTCTTTAGTTACATCCGAGGGTACTCTCCCGTGATTACCCTGGCCATTTACATTGGAAGAACTCCTGGGGACAGTCGTCTCTTACTACAATTAACAGTCCAGTATAGGTTCAAATTACTTGGATTACTCTCTAGTTGTATACACTCGTATTTCTTGACCCCTTTTCACGGATAGGAGGAACGGCGAGTGGATATTGTAATTGGATATAAGTTTCTTACGAAGTTCACATTGCGAAGATGTCTAAGACTCTTACCACGGTAGGGTCTTAAGACGTCCACGATAGAACCACGCCATGGTCAATATACTCAACCCCTTCTCTATCGCGATGTAGAGTAATAACTGGATTATGCAATTATGCCTTCGAACGTGGAGGGAGGATAATCGATGATGACGTCATCTTGCTAACATCTTCAGTTGAGCCGTGCGACTTCCACACCATCGGGAGATCTCGAGAAGTTGAGCTGATATTAATCAGGTAATCTTCGGGCTGGAACCAGTTGTATCGGGCCTTGAACATCAAAATATATCTCACTAGCAGCCTCCCAGGTCCGTCAAGATGGCGGCCTCCGACCGCTTCTTTGTTAATCCTTCAGAGCCCCTTCGGACTGTAGATGCGGACTGGGAGCTCCTAGCCAGCCTCGATCGAATCACCACGTACAACCCTCCGGTTCACACGTGCTCTACGGGATGGACGTTTCACGGCTTTTACAGCGGACCGACTTCCGTCGCCTACTTATTCTACCGATTATCCCAAATCTTCCCAGACATGGCGTTCAAGCAACAGTCGCTCTTCGAGTGGGCCGAAGCGTATCTTGCTCTCGGCGCCCGGCTTCAGAAGAAGGCGCCGGACCCGAGCCACTGCGGTGTCGCGAACGAGACCCTGGCCCACCTAGCGCTGACCGCGGTCATGCGGCAGGACACGCATCTAGTGAGACAGATCTGTTCCTACGAAGCCGCGCTCAACACCCAGAGCGAAGAGGGCTCCAACGAATGGCTGTACGGCCGCGCCGGCTACCTCTACATCCTGAGGCTCTGCAAGACTTTCGCCTGCGAGCAAGACACCGCCTCTAGCACGGCCGCCCTCGTTAACAACACCATCGAGAAGACAGCAGACCGCATCCTGGCCGCGCCGCAGCCGTGGTCTTGGCACGGCAAGCAGTACCTGGGCGCGGCCCACGGCACCATCGGCATCCTCAGCCAGCTCGCGCTATCGCGGCCGTCCCTCTCGCCCCGGCTCCGTCCTATCCTGCGCGACCTGCTCGACGCGCAGCTCGCCAGCGGCAACTTCCCATCCTCCGCAGGGAGCACCTCGGACCGCCTCGTCCAGTTCTGCCACGGCAGCCCCGGGTTCGCCGTCTCGTTCCAGGGGCTCGCCCCGCTGTGGCCCGACTGGAAGGAGAGGATCGAGAGCGCGGTGACGAGGGCAAGGGATGATACGTGGCGCCGCGGGCTGCTGACGAAAGCGCCGTGTCTGTGCCATGGTATCGCGGGGAATGCGCTTGCGCTGGGTGGTGGTGGTGGTGATTATGATGATGATGATGATGATGATGATGGGGGACGGTTTGGGCATTTCTTAGCGTTCATGAGCACGCCGGAGATGGAGCGCGCGGGCTGGCTGCGGGAGGCTGGACGGAGCGACGAGTTCGTCGGGCTCTTCACTGGAGAGGCCGGACGTGCTTGGGTTTGGGGTCAGGCTGTGGCTAAGGGCGACGGGCCGAAGGCGTGCATTGGGTATAATGATATATGAACAGCTGGGATTTTCTATTTGTTGGGCTTTTCAGCAAAGTATTCTAGTTTTGCAATCAGCATTCTTGACGAGTTATCGGTAAATCTCTCCAAGACCGGCGATATCATCGTCGCCATCACCATCGACATTCTCATCGTTATTATCTTCACTATCATCATTACCATCGTCATAACTGCGTCATAACTGTTTTTATGATCATTATTACGATTAGTATGAAATATAAAATATAAAATCATAAACAAATTTTCATCCGCGATTTTTGTTCTGGTGGTTACGCACTGAGGGTGCACCGGTTATAGGGGTAAGGGGTAGGCACTTACAACGGGAAAAGGGGAAAATGTCCAATGTCTATTACCAATTTCACGCAACGCACTTATAACTTCGCATCTTTATGTATACCCGAAAAAAAAGTGTTTATAGACTAATTACTTATTATGTATATTATACTATCTATTTGAATTTATTTTAGAAATACATTTGGTAACGATGTTTAGGATGAAATTCAGCAGCACTTGGAAATCGCGGACCATGTAGATGTAAATCCGGGATTGGATGCTCCTTCCCGCTGGGGGAGATATAACTGCCAGTAAGTGAAGGAAGTTTCAATGTGAAGTGGGGCAACTGCACAGTTGGGAAAGGAAGGAGCGGCCACATTTCAAAAACAAAAAGCGGGGATAGCTCAGTTGGGAGAGCGTCAGACTGAAGTCGCAACTTCAATCACTAAATCTGAAGGTCGTGTGTTCGATCCACACTCACCGCAAGCTTCAACTTTTGCTGGTGTCCAGGCAGCCGTTCGGCTGATTGGACTCGCTTGATTTTTTGCACTGTCGCACAGATAATAGAGGGTTGTAACGCTGTATATTTTTAGAAAGGTGTTAAGGTTAAGGTTCAGAATGGTCTTTTGGTGGGGTAACCTAAGTATAGGTAGTATCAACATTGCATTTCGCACCTTCTATTTCGTATCTACCTTCATTGTCCACTATCATTGAACGCACAAACAGAAAACGACCCCGGACGCCACGCTAAAATGATGAATTGGTGTGATATCGCATGTCCGATGATGACGACCTTCACGGCCTACCTTGGTAGAAAGTAGCGCTGAAGCGCTCGTTGGACGAGCAGATGACGGGGTTACCATGATAGTCGTCGATGTAAGCCTTGCCGTAGCCGAGCTTGCTCGCCAAATAATTGCGCGAGGTCTCGACAATGGCAGACCACAGTCCTTCAGTAGCCTTTATGACTTTGGTCCCAGAATTCTTGGCCTCCAGCGCGTCGCTCGGCGCATCATCCAATATGCTCGAGTCGAAGCCGGTAGCAGCACCTGTACCGTCCATGGCAGCCACACTGACGGCACCGTCACAACCGCGGATCAGCGACACGTCCGCGTACCCCTTTCCATCCCCATTCCCATCGAGTCCGATCTCGAGCCACGTGCCGAGCAAGTGCGGCTTGCCGTCTAGATTAACCTGCGTGGTCCCGCGCACGATGCGGCCCTGGAAGGCCTGCGGTAGAGGTACGAAGGCGCTTTGGCCGCCGCCAATGGTCACGTATTTCAGCGGCATGTTGTCGCAGCTGTTCGCGTACACGAAGAAGCTGCGGGCTTGGCTGTCCGCGTTCTTTACTTGCACGCCCCGTCCATTAGTGTCGGGGCTTGTGCTTTGTACTTGCTCCGCTTGTGTCGCGCAGCCGTCTCGTGTTGCTAGATGGTTTGCATACCGGTTCTCGCGGACGGCTGGGAGGGCTGCGGTGGTGGCGAGGAGGAGAGAGAAGAGGGTAAGGCTGGGCTTTAACATGGCTCCAGGTGGGTGTAGTTTAATACGGGGAGATTTCGCGGATCAGATAAGTAGTAGTAAGGATTGGAGAAGTGTAAGGTTTATGTGGGCGTGGTTAATACCATCTATAGTGAAGTGTCTTCGGATCAGTTGGTGAGAGACAGATGAATGGACGATCTGTCGATCGCAGGACAGCATCTTATTATATATAGGTATTCCTCCTACTTTCTACGGTTCTAAAATATCTCTTACGTCTATACGTCAGCCAGGCCTTAGAGTGGGAGGATTTTCACGGCATCAAGCAACTAACATCAGCGAGTAGCGTAAAGATGTTTCACGATAGTGTATGGCACAGTCAGTTACAGCATCTGGAATATACGAAGTTACCTCCTATACCCAGGACATGCACGCTGATTGAATATGATGTTGGAAGCATCTCGATAGCTGATTGGAGAGTAAATCGGACGAACGCCTCCATTTTAGACATGATGATCCTGTTGGAATTACGGATCTTGAGTGCACACCTTTTGAGGAGGATTTGACGTCAATCTAGCCTGTTTTGACCCTATCTCACGACGTAAACATGCTATCTGGCCTCATGGTTCTGTTGGACTTGGAATAGATGCCAGGGCGGTTGGGTCGGGGCTGCAGATCCTTTAGACAGAGGAAGTTGGAGTGTGTTGGGAACTACGTGGAGTAAATTCGACATGTAAAAGGGTTAAAAAAAATGGTGGCATAGAGGCACTGCTCCTACTTACGCCCTCGCATGCGCCTTTTCCCTCTAATGGCTATGTTTTCTAATAATCAGTCTCACGGTAGTACATAGCTTACTCGAAGAGGACTTGACATAAGCTGCGGTCGGAGGGATGACAATGAGGAAAGCGGTAACGTTTAACAAGAGGATGAATACTCTACAGCCATGGAAATAGTAATATAAATAGTACACGAATTTGAAGGCTAGATGCCGTCATCGTAGGATTTTCAGGCACCCTACCCGGGCCCTGCATAGGGGATGTCAAGTAGCACAGGATTCTATTATTGGATACTGATTAAATTGGGCCTTCGGGGAATAACGCCACGTGTCGGATCGTTCCGTGAAGAGAGAGGCCGGCGAATGGTCTGTGCGCTCGGATCCGAATCTGGAAAAGGGGTTGAATACGCTCAGTCTACTAACACACTTGCAAATGGCCACGAATCAAGGACTCGTTAATTAATAACTCTCGAAGATTTATGAGGAAGGTATTAGGAAGCTTCTACTTGAAAAATAACTGAGTGATTGTACCTAAAGGGGGTAGACATCTTTGATCGCAAGTGTACGTACCACTTAGACTTTAACGCTAGGTAGCTGAGGGAAATAAAATCAGAAAAATATGATTTCGCATCTTAGCTATGAATGGAATGTACCATCTATAATTTAACCTTAATCTGGCTAAGTTGCAGTGATTTGATGTTGCAGTATCTTGCAGTGTTGTTGGTGGGTTGAGCCACGTGATGTTATTCTGCCCCAAACTGCCCCTATTCTGCCGGATCACTCCCACTTGACTGCTCTGTTGCCCTAAGTAGGTACTATGGCAGAAAGTTAATTCTTAGAGTATTTACTGATTGTGCCGGCAGAATTCTTAGACTGGATGCTCAAACGTTGTGTTATTGGCTGTCTAGGTAGGTACCTTGACCGCCATCCGCGTTGGACAGCAACGGTCGTGCTAGCCCCCTACTTTTCCAACAATGGGCGGGCGGTACAACAACGGGTGGGCGGTAAATACTAGCAGCGCGTTAAGTTTCGCACTGATTTGATTCTTTTTTATTATTTAATTCACCGTACTCACAATCAGCCAACCCAGCTGGACACTACTTAAGAACTCTTACATTCCTTCAGTCTCTTGCAAAGTTCCGAACCATTCATTGTTTTCCTTCTTCAGTCATCCTTTTTCCGTCTTCTTTCTTGAGTCTTCATTAGACAGTCTTTTCTCTACTATTCTACTCTCTACTATACCCTACTCTCTACTATCCTATTCTCTACTACACTCCCACTCTATACTACACTCCAACTCTTCTTCCTTCGACTCTCTTTCCACCGTCTTCCTTCTATAACCTCTCTACTATCATACTCTCCTCCTACAGTCTTCCATATACTATTGTTCCTTCACATCATCAGTCTCATCCTATATAACACCAGAGTACAATCGACCACCCGAGATGTCAACGTCGACTATTCCAACGTCCCATGGGGTTGGGCTGCGGCGCGCTCTACAGGAGTGTGCCATTCAGTGTTCAGAGCGATGTCTATACCAGACTTTTAAATGGTAAGACACTTAACTAATTGGTTAATTCATTCGTTCATTCATACATTCATTCACACATCCATCCATCCATCCATCCATCCATACACCCATATACACATTCACACATTCATACACCCATCCATACACCTATCTATTCACTCATCTATCCGTCGATTCTTCCATCCATCTGTCCATACCATACATTCGTACACTCATACATGCAAGTGTAAGTTCAGTCATGCTAACAAAGACCACAGGGCCTCTGAGATGCTTAACGCCCTGCCTGATCAAGATACTCCCCTCGATGAACACGTGTATCCGCATTCAAGCCTGAGCTTTCAGACAGACCCTATCGAGCAAAACCTGGGGAGCAGAGAATTCAACAAGTTTGTCCAAGCAAAGGCATTTTTCGATTGCCATGAGTTCCAGCGCTGCGCCAGTGTCTTCCTGTCTGCCAGCGTCGGCGAAGTGGACATGCCTATCCTTGCGGGGGCGACCCCGGATCACCTCCGCTTTTCTTTGTTGGTCCGCAAAGGAATGAGTCAGAAGGCCTTATTCCTTGCGCTGCACGGCCTACTGATGGCAGGAGAGAAGCACAAGACCGAGGAACTTGGCAAACCTCTCGGTATGTCAGACAACAACAATGTGGTGAACAAGCAGATGTCCCACATCAAGCAAGTCTTGAACATCTGGTTTGACGATATGTACAACAATCCCCAACCCAGAGTAGGGGATGGCTTCCTAGAATACCTGTATTGTGCTCCCATTCCTTGGTTGATAAGAACTGTACTAATCCTCGATCCTCGCAACAGATATGGCATGATCCTCGCGCGGGAACTCAACAAAGGCCAAGCAAGGGCCAGTCTGGTGGAGAGTGTTTCGAAGAACCCCTGGAACTGGGGCGCTTGGTTGGAGTTGAGTAACTTAGTCGTCAATATTCAAGAGGTAGGTCCCTTATCCCTGCCTAGAATTGCGAGTCACTAACAAACATCCTCGTCAAGTTCCACGACCTCCAACCTAAACTCGATCAGCATGTAATGGCTAGTATCTTCTGCATATACTGTCGCCTCAAGCTGCATGACATGTCTGCTTCTTTCATGGTCGACCTCACCAAGCTCCAGCTGCTGTTCCCCAATAGCCAATTCCTACAGGGCCAACGAGCTCTTATGCTTTACCGGAAGAGAAGTGAGTACTTACCCGTTCTTGTTTCGATGATTTAATCTAACGATTGTGTAGATTACGAGGAGGCCAGTTCGATCTACTGGGAAATGAGAATTTCTCAGCCCAGAAGCCTAGACTTTGTGGAGCATCATTCAAACCTCCTCTGCGCAATGGGATCCAAACCAAGATCTGCTTTGCTTGCACAGATCTGTACGGAACTTGATCGATTCCGCCCCGAAACGTGTCTGGTAGTTAGAAACTACTATTCACTTATTGGCCGGCGTGAAGACGCCATCACCTACTTCCACAAAGCCCTGACTCTCGATCGAAACTACGCTGGCGCCTGGGTACTCCTGGGAGAAGAGTACGCCAAAGTGGAGAACATCGAGGCGGCAACCGAATGTCACCGGCGTGCTGTCGAATTGGAACCGCACGAGTATCGGGCACTATACGGTCTCGGTCAATGTTACGAACGCTTCGACAAGCCAATCATGGCTCTTCACCATTACCGCCGAGCTGTGAGAGTCGACCGAACCAACGCCGAA